CCTCTTTCTTGTACCTCCTCCTCCCTTCCCCTCGCCTCAATCCGCCTCCCGCGGGTTACAAACCGCACCGTCCTGGAGCCGCGCACCCAGCCCAGCAAATCTGGGAGTCTTTTCTCCTCTGTCCCGCGTTTCCATTAACTCAGTCCCAGCACTAGCTAATCCGCTGTACGGAAGGCAAAAGGAGGCTAATTAATGACCAGCTTTTCCAGTCAAGACCAGCGATAATTGCTTTGGTGGCCTTTCTGATTACAAGATAAAAATGGGCCCGGCCTGACAGAAGAGGCACTGTGTACACTGCAAGACAGGGGGAAATTAAGAGTTGGGTAGCTGAATACAGAGCAGAAAATTACTAATAGAAGAGAGATAATGAATAGGCCGACCAGGCATTCATGGGGAAAAATCCATTTTGTTACCACGCGAAATTAGGTGGTGGAAAGGAGTTGGCTAATTGTTCTCATCTTGTAGCAACCAGGACTGAGGCAGGGGCGTGCTTTTCAATTCATTTCCCTAGTAATTGTGAAAGGGGTGTGCTGGCCAAAGGAGTCTCGCTGCAATTTGCAGGCCAGCCTTTTCATTTTCCTGTTGCGTTTTTAATTGTTGCTAATATACCTTATAATGAAGCTAATGAGGGGAACTCTGGGTACAACTTTTAGAGCAGGGAGACAAGGACTTTCGCATACTTTTACCAACATCCCTGAGCCCAGGAAACAATCAAGACTCCAAAGGAGTGGGGAATCCTGGGTTTTTACACCACTGGAAACCTAACTGTGTGGGCCATCCTGGCCCACACCTCTGGTGGGTCCTTGGATCCTTTGAAAGAAAAGCAAAAACCACCACCACCTGAGGTATGAACGTGGTGGGGTGTGTGCCTGAAAAACCCTTACCTGGAGCGAGACTTACATGGGCCCCTGTTAGACCCAGGAATCTGACTTTGAAAGCAAGTACAGTATAGTGATTTCCAGGATGACGAATTACCTGACTTATTAGGAAGACTATTCATAAAATAAAAATTCACCAACCCCCTTCCATTATTCTGCTGTGTGCTAAAGACATTAACCATTGCTGCTCCTTGGAAGTATAACAGGTCCAGGTGTTCTCCCAGGCGTTTCTCCGACCTCCTATCCTCAACTTTTTCTGTGCAAGATCTGCCTAAGTGGTTGTATTTCCTCCTGAGCCTTTTTAAGAACAGAGATAGGCACCTTATTTTACTTAAAGCAGCATATGAGCTGCCAAATACTTTACGTTATTGAGTTTGAAAAATGGCTGCCATTAAAAGGCGGGAATCCCATAACTTTCCTTTCGGAATGATGGCAGTGTTCACTACGCTATTCGGTCTAATTTCTTTCAATTTGAGAGGTGCCCTTCTGTGTATATATCCCACCCGTTCTTGTTCACTTGCGAGGACACAGCATTGGTCTGTGTTGAATGTCACCTTCCCAGGTTGCACCTTAAAAGGCTGTGTCTCTCGGGTTTTGAAGAGGTCGTGATTTGTGAAGGACTGACATGCTCCCCCCAACTTTTTGTTTTTGCAGAAAAGCAAGCTCAAGCTTTTGCCTCACCAGGTAGAGCAAGAAGACTCCACCAAGTTCGTGGTCCTCACCCTGATCTCCATCGCATGCATCGTTGGGGTCCTCTTGGCTTCGGGAGTCATCTACTGCCTGCGCCACAGCTCTCACTACAAGCTGAAGGAGAAGCTCTCCGGATTAGGGGGCGAACCGGGCTCAGATGCCACTGCAGCATATCAGGTAAAAGGAGACTGCTTTAAAAACTGGTGTGGTCAGTTCATCACCTAAACAGACTGTTTGACTTCTCTCTCACCCCTCCCTATTCCCAGCAATTGTTCGCGTATTCTTGTGTTAGGTCCCTTTATGATGACGATTTGGAACTTCTCACTAGCATCCATGTAGATATATCGTAACTCCAATTTTACAGCTCTTTTCTATTAATCCTGTGCTGTTCTTGGATGGTCTGTTAGCTGTGAAAGCACGTTGCTCATTCGAAGTGTGGAAAAAGTACAACCCATGAATTATGTATTATCTGTTATCTTTCTTAGTTTGGCCACTCTTAATGGGGTGGTGGTGGGGATGTCTGAGTGGCAAGACAAATTGGTTGTGTGGATGTTTGAAGCTGTCCCTGAAATCATCAACTTCCTCAGGGTCTTCTACGAAAAGATCCTTTGACCTGATCTGTAGCCACCCTTTACTATTATTTGGATACAGTGAAATATAATGCTGACAAAGGGGAGGTAAACCAAGGCTGTCTCCATGAGAACACTGGGAGCAGCTGTGGACTAGGGGTGCAGAAATAGTACAGATGGACATAGTACAGATGGACCAAGGACATGAATTAGAAACCAGTGAGATTGGGAAGAAGGCCGTTCACAACAAAGTGGCCCCAGGGAAAAGCAATGGTTTTGGAAGGTCTTTAGCATCTATTTATAAACATCTTCGTTTTTATTTCCTAATGTCTTATAATCAGAGTATGCTTTCAGTTTAACACCAGTGAAAGCTTACACTACAGACAAGTCTAAGCATTAGACTTCTTTTTCTATAAAATATCCCTTAATTTCAAGTATATTTCACCATTGGGGTAAGTAAAATAAGTCACTTAATCTGCACTTAAAAAGTTGAATAGATTTCTAATTGTAAAGCTTTCCACCATGAGAGTCTTTGTTTTCTTTATGCACATGATCACTATGTGTAATAGGCCTATAAATAAGCCAATGTTTTCTGCACTCATATATAAATGAAATGTTATTATTTGATCCTCAGAGTTTCTTGGAAATTGGGGGAGGCGCTCAGGCTCTTTCCTAAAAAAATGTCCTCAAACTGCTCAAAGATATGTCCTTTATGAGGTCATCTGAGCTAGCTTTCTTCTGCCTTCTGGGCCACTCTGACCCTGCCTGACATAAGGAGTGTGGAATGAATTTATAAAATCTACGTTGAAAAGAGTCCAGAGATAAAGTCTTTCCTACCGTAAAAGTAGGAAATTGAGAAGAAGAAAAAACAGGTTTCTCAAGGGGCCTAACATGTCTGATTAGTAAAATCTTTTCTGTGTATTAAAAAAAAAAAAAGGCGAGTTCAAATGTTTTGAAGCTGGCATTTCCTTAGCTGTGTGTAGCTTGGCTTCAAAGCAAAAGAAAAATCACTTTTGAAAAAGAAGACAGCAAAGAAGCCACCTAAATGAGTACAAGTTTATCCAGTAATTCGATGGAGAAAGACCATCAGTATAAAAAAAATAAAATAAAAAACAGTAGTCTTTAAGGCCAAGACTGTGACAGTACATCAATAAATTATCACACCAATTCTGCCCCATGTGTGGAAGATGGGAGACCATGCTGGTGTAGATTTTTTAGAAAGCTTGGCATCCTTTGATATACTTTGAAATTCAAATATAAAATATTGATAGACTAGAAAGGTTGGACCTGCATTCAGAAATGATGACTTTTTACCAAAAATTCAGGTTGAAAATACATACTTAAAACTGAGTTTGTGATAATTAACAAGGAAAAAAAATCTTCCTGGTGACAGCTCTAATTAATAGTATCTGTAATTAAAATCGTGCCCTTCCAGCATGAAAATTGTTTGAATCTCTTAGAGTGACCTTTTTGCTGTTCCTCCTGGGGGCATGGTGGTTAAGTTGATATTGATTTTATAATGAGCTCTGGTTTGTTTAATGAGAATCTGTAATCCAGACAGTAAATGAAATGTGTGCTTTTCTTCAATTCGGATTAATAATAAGAGAAAGAAAGAACACTTTTCCTTTAAAATTGTGATCCAGGAACATTTGGAAATGAAATTATTTAAAAGATTTTCTGTTCAGCTTAGTTTAGAAATCACTAACCAACATTCTTTGGAACTACTTTGATTAAATGTGAGTTTGCCCTCATCAAAGTGGATTGTCTACTACACAGAAAATGCCAGTGTTCCGCTATGGTTATATTATTTTTATTTCTTTTTAAAATGTTTTTAGCAGAGTAGGACTGAGCATATGGGAGGGAGGATTACGTGATATTTAGTTTCAAATTTACCTGAGTAATATTTGTGCTTGGGAATAGAAGAAATTACAATTGATATCCATAAACATTAATTCATTCATGTATTCTTGGTTCATTTGGGTTTTCCATAGCTGTCACTGGGACTATCCACGTTTAAAAGTATGACTAAAGATTTGGTAAAAATATTATAGATATAGAACAATAAATTTCAAGAAAAGTAATTTGGTCTGCTTACTTATTTTTAGAAGTACTGTATTTAGCTAACGCTCTGCCAAACGTCAGTGTGTAGACGGATCCCTCATACTACTACATCTGGGCGAAGGGGAGAATTGAAAATATGGCATTTTGGTTTATTTCATGGGGCCAGGTTTCGAAACAGTCCACTCATTTTCAAACAGTGTCTGGGGAAGGAAAAAGGGTTGTGTGTAAATTCGGTTGGAGGTGATCTAGGGATGATAAAATGGGAGGTGACAGCCTGATAAGTTTTGTTAATACCAGGGTTTTGAACTTGTAGAACAGGAATTCCGATCAGAGTGTGCAAGGAGGTGAAGCTCAGAGTGGCTATTTTGGGTGAGGCATTGATGCTCTTGGTGCATCTTATGAATCCCTCTTCCCACGGAGTCTAAAAGGAGAGTATACTTGTTCTCAGTGAAACAGCACAGCATGGGTAATATTGTGAGATCCTTCTAGCAGGAGCAACTCATTATGCCGACTTGTTAAAGAGTTTTTGCCTATATGTGCCCATATAAGGCATATCTTGCAATATGCTTCCCCCCAAGTTGCCGGCAATCTGTGTGAGACCCAGGCACTCACATGGTTCATGGCACAGGGCTGTGAGTTATGGTGGATCAGGAAGTGTTTCTGAGTCATCAGTACGCGTTCTTCTTAACAGTGTTTCAAACCTGTTAATAGTTAACTATTTACAGCTTATAAACTTCTACATTCTTATGTAAACCATCTTTAGGCAGTTTTTAATCTCTTCTTCCTCAAAAGAGAACTATTTTATTGACCAGCTAAACATTATTTTGATGACATTTTAGTTCACAGGTGTGTGTGTGAATGTGTGTGTGTGTGTGTGTTTTACCTATTGGTGGAGCCCTGATGACCTTTTTTTGGAGTTTTACTTATTTAACCCATTGGAAAATCAAATCTTTTTTTTTTTTGGTCGTGTACTTTTTACACACAATAAGTACTAATTTTATGAGATAAGCTGGCCAAGTTTATTTGTTCTTATTTGAAAGAATTGGCTGTATTAACTTATAGATTAACCAAACTACATTTGTACAGGTAATTTGAAATGGACAAGTACTACCCAACTTTTCCACTTTGTTTGCAGTAAATGTGCCCCTTTTTCCTTCTAAGTACATAAAACATAACGTGGTTGGATTATTTTTGCACTTCATTACCTAAAAAGCCAATTTTGTTTACTTTTATTCTTTTTGTTGTTGTTGTTGTTGTTTCCAAATTGGCTTTGTAGTGAGTGTGTGTGGGTATATGTTTTGTAGAGTAAGGATAATGTAAAGGCACGAAAGAATTGTCGTGTCTTGTGTACCAGTATACTTTATGAATTTTTTCATGTAGGTGCCCTATTTCTGTGAGTGGCGATTGGGCAAAAACTGTGCCAAAAGTAAATCATTAGGTTATCAGAAGATATTCTCTTTTTTTTTCTCTACTGAGTCTCTTTTTGAACGTTGCAGCCATTTCTTTGGTGCTTTGATCATCTTTGAACAGCGAGTTTAGTATTCTGCCAGCCCACTCTTCCTTCCATGACATGAGGGCAGAGCCTCCTACAGACTTTTCAGCAAGTACCCTTTTGATGGTTTATTTCACAATACCAACCAGGCTTCCTTGTGTACTTTGAGGCCTTTGGAACCGAACCCAAAGAAAGGCATGCATTCAGGCTATGGGGACCGCCTGTAAACAGAGCTGCTAAGTGCACATCTTGATTGTCACTGTTCCCATTAGCAAGTGATTATTAATGTAATGACAGTGCCACGGGATTGCTACTGTTTGGGGATGTTCCATCAACTCAGGCTGACGTGTTTGTGTGTCCAAATGCTCCCTGACTTGTGACCTCTGGTTCAGGGGAAGCCAGGGTCAGCAATGAGAGGAGAGAACATGTCATAAGTTGGCTTTTTATCTTCGGCTGTGAATTAAGAGAGCCACCTCTTCCCCTCCCCAGCCCCCACTCCTGCTAGGTGAGTTGAAACTTCTACAATTGATGTCATCACTAGTGATAGAAATAGCAAAAAAGGCTGGAATGTTACCAACCAAATTAGACAATAGTGAAATAGTCTGAGGTTTACTCAACCCCACAACAAGTTGCCAAAAAAAGCTTTTTCTTTCTTTTTTTTAATTACTGTTCCCCCCTCCCTGACCCTACAGTTTATTTTGGCACATAATTCACATATCATACAGTTCGGTAGTTCAGCCACATCAGGAAGAGTTGTAAAATCATCACCACAATCCGCTTTAGAACACTTTCTTCAATCTTGTACTTATTGCTATAGCTCCCCATTTCCCCCAAATCACCCCTGCCATACCCCAAGGGTATGTTACTGGAGCTATTGACTTACCTATCTTGGATTTCATATACAGAAAAAAACATTTTTAAAAACTGAAGAAGAATAACAAACTAAAACAGGTAAAAACCTCAATTGAAAAGAAAGCAGAAAATATTAAGAACCAGAGCAAATTTAAATGGATCATAAGGAAGATCAAATCACAGGGTGCTAGAATTTAGCCTAA